GTTTTGAATTAGCACCTTCAGATTCTGATAACCAGGGAAACTCTACAGGAGTTTTGTTCTGGGCCCTGAAGAGAGAGTCTGAGAAGAATTTGTGTCTCCCAATTTTGTAGATGAGGCAGGAGGGAATTTCATGTTTGACCAGTGGCTCTCATGTCTGGATGTAAAATCACTTCTGCTAAGTATTTTTTTATGGTGAGGTCAGTTGACTACCTGCAAGAAGATGTCCCAGTAGACACCAACCAACTATGCCAGGAAAGCTTCCCTGGAACTAAAAGGTCATCAGGCAGACATTATAGCAAGGGCAGTCATAGTCCACCCTTGATAATTTCCTATAGACATGTTTGTGACCCAAACTACAACCCCCTTCCTAGGACCTCTGCCCTTGCTATAATGAAATAATAGTAGCAGAGAGAAAGCCCATATCAGTGAGTGTACACTTCACTGGCGGTTTCTATCAAGGTATAATATCAATAGCAAATCGTACACATATGATATTCCAGGCAAAAAACAGGGTCCTGTCCCTTAAAGAAATGTGTGGTATGTTGAAAGAGATAGTCTTGGCAATAGCATATGTAATCTGTAGTAAGTGCCATGATAAGACGTATAAATAAAATGTCAGGGGAGCACTTACTTATGAACAGAGACAACAAGAAGACTTCACAGAAGCTAAGTCTCAAATGGATGAGTACATTTCAACAGGTGAGCAAGGTGATGACCTATCAAGAAAGTAGGGTTCTTCTGACTACCTGGCTGGCTCCATGATTGGCTTGTACCTCTCTGCTCCCCCTACCTGCCCAGTCTTCTTATCTGCCAAGAAAGTAGATCCTACTTAGAAGAGCAATGTGGCAGTCTTCTTCCATTCTTTTGAATTTTTCCAGTAAGAAGTCGACTTCTTATTTATTTTCTGATCCCAGAAATCTCCACCTTCGTCAACTTTAGTCAGTCATTTCTGGGGAAATCAGAAGCCCTCACTAAAGAGTTATGATCAGAATTCAGTTCCTGACACTAGTTGAGGGAAGAAGATGCACAGACAATACACTTATAGAGAATTCAAACTTCCTTGTGTTTAGGCTCAGAGGTTGTCACGTACCTGTGTATGCATGCACATACACATACACACAACACACACACACACACACACACTTATATGCACACTCATACACTTGTGTCCTTCCCAGCTCCACACCAAACCCAGCCTCGGTCCCTGCCCAGCTCAGCCGCTATTGCCTGGGACTTGACTAGGTAAAGAGGTGAACTCTAAGTGTTCTAGGTGATTGCTAGCTGACGTCAAGGTGTGAACTTCTGTCCCTGGGTGCTTTGGCACCCACCCTGGCCAGTGATGCCAAGGAAGATATATGGGGCTGGCTAGTCCACCCAGGTTGTTTGGTCTCAAGCAGCCCTGGCATTCTCTCTCCTTCCCTAACTCTTCCCACACTTCTTGATTTCAGGTTTGTGGGCAGGCCTGGAAGCTACGTCTATGTGTTCAATGGTTACCGAATGGAAGAGGTAAGTGCAGCCACTGGTGTTTCATGCCTGGCTAGTGGTTTATAGGTTCACCCTCCTGCTCCCCTTCCTTATCCCCATCACAGCATGGCTTAATTTGTGCCCTTGCTTCTCTGAGCTCCACTTGGTCTAACTGTCCCTTCCTTTTTCTCCCCCTCCCCTCAGTGTGCTCCCGGAGGCTGCCTCATGGAGCTCTGCATTCAGCTCAGCATCATCATGTTGGGGAAGCAGCTGATCCAGAACAACATCTTTGAGATTGGAGTCCCGTACGTAGTGAGCTCTTCTCGTCTTTCTCCTTACTGCCAGGACTTAACCCAGCAGTGCCTGACTTCTGGCAGGATTTCCATGCCTCTACTTTTCTAAGATATCTTTGTTGCTCACGCGTCTGTCCACTTGCCAGTAACTTTCCCCATGGGGCAGGCTTCCTTCTGCAGTCCTTGTTGGCTAATCTGATTGAAGATGTTTGAGGCTTAGAAAGATTAACCACTTCTGTAAGTGTATATAGTTAGTAATTGGGAGAGCTAGGAGCCTGATATCTCTGACCTCAATGAGCATATTTTTAATGCTATTTGTCCTCACAGTGGATAACTAAAAGAAGGACTTTCAATATAGTGGATAGGTGAATATTGAATTTTGAAGATAGCGGAATTATTTAGAAAATTAACTGAGAATAAATGGTGGAATATACAATCTTTGGAGGGGAAGGATGAATCATTGATGAGACACAGAATGGGTTGTTTTCGTGTAGATTCTGTCTTTCCTCCCTTCCCCATAGTTTTATACTATTTTGTAGAATGACTTCTTTCCATCAGATTTTGTATTGAGATAGTCAGCAAAATAAATGTTGACTCACAGGCACTGGACCTAAAAGAAAAGAGGATGGAACAAGTGAAACTCTACCAATAGGGTAAAGGGAAAATGTAGCTCCCTCTACCTTTCCTTTCCATCACTTTTTGGTTTTAAAGCAGAATCTGTTTCAGGGGCTGCTTTTCGCCAGCCCAGTCCCAGTGAGCCAGGGGGAACAGCAGAGCTGATCAGAGGTACCTCTCACAGGCTGGGACAGTTCTAATTAGGAGGGTAGGATGGACAATTCCTTTCAGGCTTGGGGTTGTTTGCAAACTCCTTGCAAGAATGACCATTCTGAAATGAGACTAAAGGAGCACATCAGCCCAGGGCCAAAGGACTAGAAGCCAGGAGAGGACAGGAAAGTTGGTAATAGGGAACCCACGGTCGAGAAGGGAGAGTGTTGACATGTCATGAGGTTGGTAACCAATGTTATAAAACAATATATGTACTGTTTAATGAGAAGCTAGTTTGTTCTGTAAACCTTCATCTAAAGTACAAAAAAAAAAAAGACCATTCGGGGATGCAATTGTAAGTCCCCTTAGAGTTAGGCAAAGATAGTACCACTCACTCTATCTCCCTCTTGGAGATTCACTATGCATACAATATTGATGGTTCTGATTAGTCCTGAAGTAAAGAAACTTGTTAATCTCTTTCTTTCCAACCATGTTTGATCATGTTATTGACCAGGGGTCTTAGTTGCAGACATGAGAATCCAGTCTAACTTCTTTAAGCAGTAAAGGTGTTTAAGAATATTAAGTGGCTAACAGAATATACTTTAAGGGCCAGAGAGCTAGACTCTGAAGCTACCTGTTGTTGCTGTTGTTAGGTACCATCGAGTTAGTTCCAACTCATAGTGACCCTATGTGCAACAGAACAAAACACTGCCCGGTCCTGTGCCATCCTCACAATCTTTGTTATGCTTGAGCCCATTGTTGCAGCCACTGCGTCGATCCGTCTCACTGAGGGTCTTCCTCTCTTTCACTGACCTTCTACTTTGCCAAGGATGATGTCTTCTCCAGGGGCTGATCCCTCCTGATAACATGTCCAAAGAATGTGAGACAAGTCTTACCATCCGTACTTTTAAGGAGCATTCTGTCTGTACTTC